GGACTCAGGACAAGGTGCGTTTCTATCAGTCTTCCAACCATTATGACCAAGTTGCGAAAACAAGGTCAAATAACTTCTATACGTCTTCTTGTATTGCACTTTCATATTAATGCCAATCCTTTCTATTTTCCTCTATCATCTTATATGTAATGTTTCTCAGCAAAAACTATTTATCGTCTCCTTTTCTCTTAAAACTTGTTTGAGAAAATGTATGAATTACTACTTTCCGGTGTGTACATTAGTAAATAGAATAGTGCAAATCATTAACAAATTATTTTTTTCTTGTAAAGTTTTAATAATTATTTTCTTTATCAGTATCTGCTTATTGTATCATCTTATTTTACCTTTCCTAATCAATTTTTTTATATATTTTCATAGTCAAGACCTTGTATTGATCCATCTTCAATCCCAACCGTCAATTCCGCCGGCCATCTTTTCTCCATGTGCCAATCGGCACATCATGAACTTGATCAGGAGTTAGATCCACGCCCATTAGGCTCTACTCGAAGCCGCATGGTGCGTCGCCTTACTGGCTGGCTATCCTCTTCGCTTAATTCGATGACCCAGCGGATAAAAAGCAGTTCTTTGACCACTACCACCAAGGTCGCTCATGAGGCAGGTGGTGGTCTTGCCACTGGCCCACGACGACGCACCCGTCCTATTCTATTTTCGAACTCGCCCGTGGCAACTGGAGGTGAGCGGAAGACACGACGAAAGAGGAGAATAATTACAGCAACAACGGTTAGCCGGGATAATTCCGCATCAATAACGTGCCGGCCGGGCCTTGGAAATATTAACACTAGTGCCAGCTTCACGTGTGCCAGCACGGATGCTACTGCCACTGAAGGTGACAGATGTTCCTCTCGGGAATTAGTCGAAGATGAGGCCTTCTCTGCTCCGGGCAGTGGAAGATTGCGTATTATTCGCACTAATCCTTTCTGTGGCCTTTTTAATGGTCGCTTTCCTAGCGAATCTGCCTGGCATGGCTGTTCAAAATCTCGCAATCCCATGTCAACCAGCCTTATAACAGGGTCTATTGGGCTCCGGGACGAAATGAACAAGTCAAAGCCGGCTTCAGATAGCCGACCAGAAGTATTAGACAAAGAGGATACCGGTAAAGAAGTAGAAAGCAGTCTTTCCTTCCTTGCACTTGATATGACTCAGTCAGCTACCGCCAATCTCTGCTTTGGCCCTTCAGATGCCCCCTCCGAGCTTCAAGCTGCTCCTTCTTCTCCACACCGGTTGAATCTAGCATTTTCTGTTAGTGGCAGTGGTCTCGCTTCACCACACCTATCCCTTTCTGATCTCGACCTAAATGAACAACCGTCGTCTCTACCTTCAATTTGCAACCAAAGTCAGACTTCCAGTGAACTGATAGGCCATACATCTCTCCCTTCCTCCGATCTCCTTTGCTCTCAGTCAGATTCACAGAAGAATTACTCTTGTAAACCTCCATCTTCGCCATCCTGTACAGCCACTACTATTGTCTGTTTATCTCACTCCTCCAGGCCAACCAAAGTCAACGGATCTGAAGAACATATATCGGGGATCAGCAGCAAGTTATCTGGAGCTACCGAGTCTCCTCTTGGCTTTGGTCCTAGTAGTGGGAGTAGCTATGACACAGAGAAAGGGGATCGTTGGACTATCAGCATCTCTTCCCTTGTCTCTCGTCTCACTTCCAGCCGGAGAAGTCAGTTGGCTCGACCGGCAACGAAGTTTGCTGGTGAACAGACGAAAAGGTTGGCTTGATACCCACTCATATCTTTAGTTCATGTCAAAACTTTCCCTCTTCTTGTATTCTTATTATTTTTCAAATTAACCTTTACCCACCGTCTTCATATTACACCTTTTTTTGGCTATCTCCTCTACTTTTATGCTTCGAGCCCATTTGTCTTCATTTTTTCTGAATTCGATCACCATTTTTAAATCAGTTACTTCATATTACTATTTAATGCTTCTTATCAAATCGATCGTCCTCCTTTGTGATGACCCTCTATTGATTCCTCAAAAGAATTCTTATTTTCATCATTTTCTTTTATTTGCTTACTTTTTGTTAGTATTCTCACTTCTTGTCTACTGTGCCTATCATTTAATGAATTTCCGTCCGGCCTCTCATCAATTATCTCCACCCTTATTTTACTTTAAATTGCTCATATATGATGATCACGCCCTATTTCTCCATTGAACTTAGCTTTTCACTTGTCTTCTCTTTTCTGTATTTTCTCCATTTTTTGCTGCTTTTCAATGTCTATAAGCATCTTTGAATTTATCTGTAGCGTTTTTAGATAATTTATGCCCTCTGATCGCATTATAATTTAAAGATACCTTTTCATTTTCTCCCTAACTTTATCAGAGACAGGCTTTTAAGCCACAGTCTCATCGGTCTGGATTGTGCGATACTACTTCATGCAGTCATGAAGCCCACTTGATAACTCTTCGATTCATGCAAGCATATTTGTACACACATACGCACCGGTGATCTGCCGAAACTATTCTTGTTTTTAACTTGGCTTTTTTTAATTATCTATGACATTTCTCTTGCATGTCTTCTGTTCTGGTTCTGCTTCTTGAGAGGAAATTATTATTTCTTCTTGGTCCCTATAATGTTATACCGCTTTCTTGTCAATTGGCTTAAGCAGCAGACAATATTTCACGCTGTCTTGTAGCCTTTAAGTCATTCTTTAGAGTCATCATTTTTGTACTCATTCCCTTGAGTTGCCTATGCTTTCTATCCCTTGCTTGCTTTGTGACCCGGCCGTCTATTCGACGGGCCCACTACATTTACACCCTTTATTTACTCCTCATTTTATATAACTTAGCCTGATCGCTTTCACTTTTTTCATATCGCTTATTGACCATGCATAATCTGTGGCTTATTATGCTACTGATCCCAAAATGCATCTCGATCTTTCTTTCTGCTGTTTTCTTGGCTTATTCTTAAATATATGTCCCTTCCACTCATATACTTGAATTGAGTGGAACTGCCAAATGTGACCTTATCTTACTTTTTGATCCAAGTCCATTCGAAACAACATTCTCCTCTCCCTATCTACTTCCTTTTCCATAAACGTATCGAAAAATGAGCAATGCAGATAAGCTAGTCCACTCGATTTTCTCAGGCTTATGTTTCCTTATTCTTTTGTAAACGAAAGTATACCTGCACTAACGTATGGATAACTCAGTTACAGATGTCAAATTTCACTCCTTTTTTATGCTTAGTCTGATTTGGCGTTTTTGAATCATTGGGCACTGTTCAGAAGTCTACCAATTTGCTTCTCGAGCAGCTTTTTCTACAGCTGCTCTTTACGTTCTTATCTTGATGTCTAATCTTCTTGTCTATTTATCATTATTTGTATATCTCTGTATGTACATTTGAATTCAATCTCTGATTCTCTTTATTTCACCCCGCCCCCATTTCTTTCTTCTGCAAAATACTCGATGCCAATTGCATCTCACTTAATGATGTAGCTCCTGGCGG